TAATAGGAGCATTTATTGCCTTTCATATCCGAACCTTACCGCATTGAATGCGGTCTCGTCAACAGAATGGTGCAATTAATTTGTTTGCTTTCCCAAGTCGCGTGTCAGCGACGGCATGCGGTTTGTCTGCTTCTGATGTGACATTATTTGCCACGCGTCCATCCCTTATTGGCTGTGACGTCGGTATTCCAGCGTGTTCTGACATTACTTGTGTTAAGACGAGGTTATGATGAATAGTCTAGACTGGCATAGGCTGATGTCCAGTACGTCAGCAGCTTTATCCGGGAGTAGAGGAAGCGTCCAGGATGGATTGACCCTCGGCACCGAGGACAGGATCACCTCGGGGACCGAGGGGTGGTGTGTTTCCGAGGTATACACACGACCGAGGACACGTGTCGTTGTATAATGCACCGAATATGTGATCCTATATGAGAGGTACCTCGGGGGAGAGGACGCCTTTGCCGATGGTGCTTGAATCCGAGCAACATTGTTCTAGAACCCCGAGGACACGTGTCTTCATCATAGGGCTTTTCAGAAGAGTCCCATCAGTTATCACCAAACTATTGGAGCCATATTGTCGATCATGTACGTAAGTAATATATCTACCTTGTACAGTCACAAGGGTATTTTAGAAAAGTAAAAATTAGACTTATCTTCTCATCTTGTGTGAACTATACACACCACATTTGAAATCAACTTAATCCCACCTACCCCAACGATTGAGATGGATGAATTTTTTTATCCATTCTAATTTTCTTTACCAATCTAATTCAATAGCTATATTGATCTAGACCTCTTACACTACAAGAAAAATGTCTTTTAATGATAAAATAAGTCGGTACTAAAAGTGAATAATTTGCCGCTAAAAATTTTTTGTGACAAAAAAACTTGGTCACCAGTTTGTCACGGCAGGCTCGCCACTGAAAATTTTTGACGACCAATTAAAGTATCGTCGCTAAAGTAGATTATCAGTGACAAAAAATTTAGTCGCTTAAAAATTCATTTACTTGTCACAAAAAAACCTTCGTCGCCGAAAGAAATTATATTATGACCATATTTTTTCTTTTTGGCGATGACATAATATTTGTCACTGAAAATCAAGGTACATTTTTTGCAACTAACATTTTTTCGTCGCTGAAAGAAATTATATTATGGTCATATTTTTTCTCTTTGGCAATGACATAATATTTGTCACTGAAAATCAAGGTACAGTTTTTGTAACTAACATATTTTTGTCGTCAAATAACAAATGAATACTCTCACCTTCAAATAATAAGCGACAAAATTTATTTCTCACCAAAATAAGAGATTTTTAGCGACCAAATTTTACTCATCGCCAAACAAAATTATTTCTAAATAATGACATTTTATGATTAGTATTGTCCTCGTAATAAATCAAAATAAACTCACTGGAGCGCTTCAATCATTGAAAATCATTATAAAATTAATAATCCATAAAACAAAACAAAAAATAATTTTCTAATCATTCATTCAAAACACATTTAAAAACATTGATATAAGAACTCATACCAAAATATTTGTATATAATTTCATAATAAAATCTCATACCAAAACATCCCATGTAAAAAATTAAACTGAAAAAAAAAAATAAATGTCACAATATCTAGATGCCACAAGAACTCAAACTACTTGGATCATAGAGGAAGAGATCTCATCACCAAAACCAACTCCAAGGAATCAATTGTTAATCTGTATCAAACACAACAAAAGTGCATTAGCAAAACTAAAAAATTATTTGCTAGAATAAATAGTTAATTAAGCATATATTTATAACTGAAAAATACTTATCAAGATGAAGTCGTCTCGTCTCCCTATTGTCTCCACCATGTTGCATCGCCAACTTTACCTCTGTCATTTGACGCAACATCATCTCTTGTGTCTTTTTTATTTGTTCGAGTTTTGCCTTAGTCTTATCCAACTTTCTTTGTCTGCTTTCATTTTCACCCTAAAGAGTCGTAACAACTGCCTTCAAACCTCTTACCTCCTGCTCATGTTCAAGAGTTTTGAAAATATTTATTGAAGAAGATGATTTAAGGCCAACCCCATAATTGGACTTATTGCTAAGGATACTGTATACAATCTCCTCGAGACAACGGGGATGCACCATCTTCTATTGGTTGATTCTTCATCTCCTTCCTCCGTTCCTAAATTTTTTAAAAAGTTATTACCCAACAAAACCTATGTATTTTGAAAATGAAAAATACAAAGACAATTGATACTCTTACATATCGAGACTTTGCTTCTGGTGAAATCCACTTCATTGACTTCTTGTTGATGTGGGTCTTATAAAAAAAGTCCACGATATGAGGTGGCTCATGTTTCTCAGGGTCCAACTGTTTTCAGAAATTCACGTGAAACTACATACTTTCAACATTTTAAACAAATGAAAGACAAATAATTTTAAGTTAAAAAATTATAACCATATCATGCATCACAGAAATAAAAGATTTAGAACCCATAATATGATTGTAGGGCAACTTAGCACGATTTTCAAAATTTGTCTTTGATCGTTTCTACAAAAAAAAAAAATTGTATTAGAACAACAAATTACTCATTTATATTGCATTAAAAACCATTAACAAATTACCTGAAAGTTTTGATCCTTATAGGCATGTTATATTATATTATATAAATTCAATCATTTTGACTAACTTCTCGATAAGACTTACTTTTTGGGTCCACCCTAAACTCTACCAATCTAATGTAATACTTATGCATTCTACAACGGTAATGACTATACAACTTAACAAATTTTTTGTCAATGAATTCTACAACATGATCAAATTCACCATATCCCACAACATGGAACTTAGTCTGCACGAAAAAGTAGTATATCATTTTAAGAAAAAATAAATATTTATGTTAACTAGAAAAATTAAAAAAAAATTAATTACCAAGAGTCTTGCAATGATAGAGGCCTGTTTTTCAACAGGTAACTCGTGTTAATGGGTCACATCCCTGACTGGGACAAAACCCCTAGCTGGGATTTCAATCTCTGTGATAAAACGCTGTGCATTTTCTCTAACAGGAGCACCCACACTTTTTGTGGCCAAAACAATTTTTTTTTAGACTTTTTCTTCTTTAAACAATAAACTATTTTTTAATCTAAAGTACTGTTTTAATGTTTTATAAAATATTATATGCAACGGGAAAAATAATTGTCACATATACAAAAAATTCTTTTTGAGTTTATCAAATATATTTTGCTGCAGAAAAAATAATTGTCTCAAATATAAAAATTTCTTTTGAGTTATGACAGTATTTATGGCAAGAAAAATAGTTGCCACAAATATTAACAAAATATTGATACAAACATGTTTTTTGTGACAGCAAACACAGCCATCATAAAAAATTGTCTCAAACACGCCTTTTGTGATAGTGAATATAGTCGTCGTAAAAAATTTGTCACAAAAGACCCTTATTTTTGTAGCAACATGTATAAATAATTGTCGCCAAAATTTTGTTTAATATTTTTAGGCGATGAAAAGTAATATTTGTTGTAGAATATTTTTTTTTGGCGACAATTTTTCTTTCACATCGCAAAAAATTGTTGCAATAAAACGTTTTTCTTGTAATGATATTCTGTGACCAATTATCATTTGTCGCCAAACAAAAATAATTTTAACTTTTTTTCCATGATAAACATATATTGTTGCTAAGTATTATTGTTTTTGTTTTTTTATTTTTTGGTATTTGACAAAAATTTTGCGACAAAAAAATTATTTTGGCGACAATTTTTTTTGTCGCTCATAATATTAGCATTTAGCGCCAAATTCTTTTTGGAGGAAAAGTTTTTGCGAAAACTATTGGTGACAACTACAAAAAATGGTCACCAAAAATATCATAAAAAAGTTTAACGGAAGAAACATTTGAAATTGTTGTCAAAAATCACTTTTTAACAACCAATTTTATTGTTCATCGTCAAAATTCGTCGCTAAAAGACAAATTTATTGTAGTGTTATTAGCTCTTTAAATTAGTTTTCTATAACATTATTTATTTCACTGTTGTTATAGTAAGAATAATGTTATTCGTACACAAAATAATGACTTAATTTCTTATCCAATACTTACAATTGCAAGATTGCTATTAAACTATGTCATTGTCACATAATTAAATAAATAAATAAAATTAATTTTTAAGTTTCAATAATATTATCTTCCTACTAATTACTGTAAATTTAAAAAGTCAACTAAACAAAATAATTGAAGTACATGTGAATCCTTCACGTTTTATAATATTTTTTTCCCTTTGTCTTGTTCTTAGAGTTTTCAAGGCTTTTTGGAGTCGAAAAATAGGTAAAGACAATTTAAATCGCTACCCAAGAGTATTTGTTTTAACAATGTTTGAGCCGGGAAGACATTAAAAACTCCATCAGTAGCATGGCCGCCACGAAAGAGTATAAAATCGTGTGTTTATATATTAAGACTATGAGAAATATAATTTAGAGATCTAATTTAATGTCACTACACAAAAGAACAACTCCATATAAGCCTTACAATTTTTTTTTATATAATTTAGGGACACAATTTGAGAGTTTAATACATTACGACTATTAAATAAATAATAAATTGGGTAAGTGCCAAACGGTGCTATTATGATATCAGAGGTCTAAGTTAGTTTATGTTCATCTCGACTAATCTTCTTTTTATCCCGATCAATGATAGATTATTCATACCAAAACTAAAATATTGACAAAGAATAAATTTCTCTTGACTTGCCTCAATAGAATGGGAAAAACTACGGTACCGAATGAGGTATCGTATCAAAATTTACAATCATTTAAAAATAAGTTATAATTTTTTTAAGGTGTAAGTTACAACCTTTAAAAGTCATGACCGTTCATGACATATTGAGATTGATATCAAAATTATAATTTTTAAAATCTAAGTTACAATTGTCCAGCGAAAATTTATGATCAATCATATACATTTGTGATGATCGATCATAATTCCCTTAAGCAACTGTGAGTTCTTACTTATGAGTTACAATTTTCCCATAAAAATAATAAGCGAGGGTGAGACACTGCCTTCGGTACCGTAGAGTTTCACCTATAGAATTGTCAAAATTCAATCCCTAAACGTCGACTTCCCACTGTCAAAACACTGCACATACATACAACAATGTCTTCTCTCTCTCCACTGGTCGAAACTTTCTCGTTGCACGTCCTTTCATTCTCTCTCCTCACCTTCCTCTTCCTAATCTTCCTCATCAAATGGCTCTTCCTCAACCCATCAAGCAGCAAGAACCTACCACCATCCCCACCAAAGCTTCCGATAATCGGAAACTTCCACCAACTAGGCTTTCTCCCCCACCGCTCACTCCTACCCCTATCTCAGCGCCATGGGCCTCTCATGCTCCTCCACCTCGGCACCGTGCCGACCCTCATCGTCTCTTCCGCCGACGCAGCCCGCGAAATCATGAAAACCAACGATCTGATCTTCGCAAACCGACCCAAATCACACGTCGCCGAAAAGCTTCTCTACAACTCGAAGGATGTGTCCGTCGCACCTTACGGTGAGTACTGGAGGCAGTTGAAAAGCATCTGTGTTCTTCAGCTTCTGAGTAACAGAAGGGTTCAGTCCTTCGCTGCTCTGAGAGAAGAAGAAACAGCTCTGATGATGAAGAAGATCGGAGATTTATCGTCGTCAACGCCGGTGGATTTGAGTGAAATGTTCACGTCGATTACAAATGATGTCGTCTGTAGGGTGGCTTTTGGGAGGAAGTACAGTGAAGGGGAAAGTGGGAAGAGAGTGAGGGAATTGTTGAGAGAATTGCTGGTGTTATTGGGTAGTTTGAATTTTGGGGATTTTTTTCCATGGCTTTCATGGATAAATCGAATTAATGGGTTTGATTCAAAATTGGATAAAGTTGCGAAAGAGATTGATGATTTCTTGGAGGGAGTGCTTCAAGATCACATGGATCGTCTGGAAATGGAGAGTGGTAGAAAAAAAGTTCATGGAGAAGGCAGGGAGGACTTTGTTGATACTCTGCTCAAGATTCAGAAGGAAGATGTTACTGGCATTTCCATTGATAGAGATAGCATCAAAGCTATCCTCTTGGTAGAACACACTCTCTCTCTCTACCATTTTTCCCACTATATTATTGCCAACAACAAATTAATATAATTTATTATAGTTATGAGATTGATTGTGTGCATTATTGAATATTAAGTCTTACTATTAATTTAGTAGTTATGAATAATTAGATTAATAAATTAAATTCAAGAATCATCGCTTTTTGCATAATTGGTGAACCTATTTCAACTAAAATAATAATATTTTTTAGATTTACCCTAAATTATAGAAGGTATTTTCGCACTTTATATCCCGAAAATTTTTATTTTCTCCTCAAAAATTAAATTTTCATATTATTCTTTTTAATGTATCAACAATATTATAATGCGGCCCCACTATTAATTTTTATTTTTTTGTCAAACAGTCAATCCACTGACTTGGAAGAAAAAAAATAACAAAAATTAATAGAAAGATCATATTTTAATATTTTTGATATATTAAAAATATAATATAAAAAATTTTAATCTTTAAAAATATAAAGTAAGAATCTTCCGCCTATTAAAGAAAGTGCTACGGCCCCACATGCAACCCGTAGATACCCGCACAAAAACTGATAATTCCCACTATCCTTTTTTGTTTTTAATCTATTTATTTTATTCAGTCCCTATTATAGAGAACGATGTTTGAATTTGAGATGTTAAGATTCAACTAACCGTTAATCTCTTCTATATTTTGATTCATATTTTATTTATTTGAGATTTATTTTTACGTATGACAAGGATATGAATACAGGAGTCGTGAAGTCATGACTAGTTAAGGATAATTAGGATCAGCTCAAGAGTTAGATTCTTTATTTTCACTATAAGAAAAAAAAAATTAAAATTCTATTTTTTTAGAATTTTTTGATTTTGAGATTGATTTTTTAGTGATGTTTGAGAAATTAATTTTATTAGGATTTCAATTATAATTTCTTGAATAAAATAAAGTAATGTCAATATACTAATTATATTGGAACCTGTAATTAAGAATTAGTTAAGTGAATTAGGATAAAATTTAATATACTACTCTATAATATATATTATCAAATATATTAAAATTTTAAAAAATTTAAATTTTATTTAAAAATATATTACAATATCTATTTTTACATAACTCAATACAACTTAAAAAATTTATTGTGATTGAGGATTTATCCTGATTTAACATAAATTAATTTTAAAATATTATATATGCAATTACTTTTTATCTTAGAAATGAAAGGGTTAAACTTTTTGATGAAAAATAAAATACACATATATAGGAATAATATTATTTTTGCATACGAGATAAGTAATATTAGATTTATAGATTTTTTGAAAGTTTTTTGAACATTTTATTAAAAATATAATTATACATATTTTTTTAAAGTTAATATAATCAATCAAAAAGTTTTATAAAAACTGATATTTATACATATAAAATAGATAATTAGGGTAAAATAGAGATTCAAACTTTTTTTATGTTAAAATTTTTTTATTACTAATATAGATAAATGTAGATATAGATAGATATAAAAATAGATACTTTTGTGGGGGTTGCATGCACCATAATTTATAGTAGGTATGCTAGCCTTAGGGCTATTAATCAAGATGACGTTTGCGAGTTTGAACCCAAGATTAGCGTGCTCATTTTTTTAAACAAGTCTGAAAAAAAATGAGCTCGAGTCTGAGTTGTTCGATTATTTTACATGTAAACGAATATAGCATTGCGAGTTTGAGCCGAGGTTTTTAGGCTCGTTTATAGAAAAATTGTTTAAGGTCGATTTGTTTAGACACAAGTCGAGCCAAGCTGAGCCCAAATAGTTCTGCTCGATTACCGGCCCTAATTAGCCTCTATGTGCATATAGTTGAGTGCAAATAGAAACCAGCATTGTCAATTTTTTTTTTTTTGTTTTGAATGATATTATTATTATTATTATTATATATTAGAAAATATCCATCTTAATAGAACACAATGACATAGCATAACTCGTATAATTGATTCTAATAAATAATTGAGCGTCGGTTCAATAGAATTGAGTTGGGTTATTGACATAACTAATTGATCAATATGCATCATTTATTGCTACTCAAAATTCAAGAATAAAGTAAAATATTATTCAGACCTAAAATGTTAAATCTTATTTGCAGAATTAATCAATCATAACCATAAAATTAGTTGTGAGTATTCACATATATTAGGATTTACGGTTAAATCAATGATAATAATTGATCATATCAAAAAAATAGGTCAAATAGCATTCGTCAAGAATAAAAATTGCTCAAGGTTAGTGATTGATCTCATGACCTCGACCGTGCCATTAGACCTTAACGTCGTTGGTTCAATGTCGTTGTACCCACTCTGTAATAATATCAAAAAAAAAACTTGCTCCATTAAGTCAAAAGAATTTAGAGGTAGGTGACGTCAATGGCTGTGTACCTAGTAGTTATAATATGAGGTTTATTATTGATAAACAATATTTTTTACCCTATATATATATATGTTTCTATTTGGTTGGTACCGGCGGTGAGGGTGGCAGTGGAGTTTCAGTGATTGAAATGAAGAACAAATGACATTGAGGATACAAATGTCTTTTTGTCACTGCTATCAACGGTGTTAGCAGTTCATTTTAGTCTAATAACATGAGGTAGTGATGTGCGTATTTTGAAACGACTAATAGGTGATGTGCACAATAACCTAACCACGGGAGGTTAAAAGAATTTTGCCCTATTTTCTTCACAGAAAACTAAGTATACTAGTTTGTTGTCTAAAAAAGAATTGGTTGTATTTGATATTAACCTAACTATTTTGTTAATCGTATTAGCAGATTGTATATTTTCGGGTCATTATTGAGAAAGAATCGACCCTAATCTGATAATTTCATATGATCTTCGTAGAGTCAAAAAATTATGAACTGCTATACTAAAATGCTGGGGCTATTTCAGTACTGATCTTTTGTTTTACCTTGTGGGTTGCCATTTAAGCACAGAGTTTATCTTTGTACTGTTATTGTAGGATATATTTTCTGCTGGAACTGATACATCAGCTACAATTATGGAATGGGCAATGACAGAGCTTTTAAAACACCCCATCATCATGAAAAAAGTCCAGAATGAGGTGAGAGGAATTCTCAATGGCGAAAACAACATAACTGAAGATGATTTAGAGAAAATGCACTATTTGAAAGCAATGATCAAAGAAACTCTTCGTTTTCATCCTCCAATTCCATTATTGGTTCCTCGAGAGGCCAGTCGAGATGTCAAAGTCATGGGCTATGACATCGCGGCTGGCACAATGGTCGTGACCAACGCCTGGGCAATCGGAAGAGACCCTGAGTTGTGGGATGAACCGGAGAAGTTTTACCCAGAGAGGTTCTTGAGCTCCTCCATAGATTTCAAAGGCCATGACTTCCAGTTGATACCATTTGGTGCTGGCAGGAGAGGATGCCCTGGAATTGCTTTTGCAATGGTCACTAATGAGCTTGTGTTAGCAAATCTTCTGCAAAAGTTTGATTGGGAATTGCCTCATGAGACAAAAGGGGAGGACTTGGACATGACTGAATGCCCTGGTGTTACAACCCGTAGGAAGATCCCTCTCCTTGCTGTTGCAACTCCATGTTGCTGAACAACCTGTTGTTGTTGCTGTTACTCAAAACAATGACCTCACATCGCAACGATAAATCCTTACCATTGTTCTACAATCCGTCCTAAAACTGTAAAAACTTGTGTCATACTTTTTGCTCGTACAAGTATATTCTTCTCTTTACTAATGCATGTCTTTTTTAGGGTTAATTATTTTTTTACCTCCATGTTGTTTTAACTATAAATATTTTATAAATATTTTACTTACTTAACGTTTAAAATTATGCACATTATCCCTTTATAATTATGTACTAAAGTAAAATAGTTATTTTTATCATTCAAATTAACGGAGAGTGTGTTTCACTCGTCCAAAACATGTTTTGGGTTTTGTTTCTATTGTTTTCCTCCAAAAGAATAGTCTAAGTGCCTAAAATACCATTTATAATAGAGCAATGCTATAAAACTCAAATGAAATTCAAAAAATTACAATTCAAATACATTTCATCCAAAGGATGAGTGAATTCCATTAACTTTTGCAGTACAGATCAAAAAACATGTACAAAAACATAAGTGATTTTTTTATCTTGGATCAAAACCTCATTTGAAGGAAAAAGAGATTCGACATTTTTGATTGAAATGTGTTGATTTGTTGTAATGTTCCATTAGTTTTATAGTCAAGAATAAATTAGATAAAAAAATATATATAATTTTAGAGCTGGGGTTTTATAGTAATTTTTTAGTTCTACTAACAGCATCAATTAATTCACTTTGGTACATAACTATTAGGGAATAATGTGCATAATTTTAAACATGAAATAGGTAAAGTGTTTCTAACCGAAATTACGGGAGTAAAAAACAATTAACCTTTTTTTTTTGTACCTCCTTTTTCAACACCCGGGGTTACTTCATAATTTTGCATTTTCAGATTGAAGTAAGACAGGGTGCCTATAGTATATTTTTTAGGAGTCAATATCGATGATGCACAAAATTGATTTGCACACCATCTGTCAATTAAGTAATATAAAATGCAGTAAAGTAGAGGAAAGAGAAGACAATGTTTATAGTGGTTCGGTCAATATGACTTACGTCCACTTTGAATGACAAGGGTCGCCAGAATTTTATTATCTCCGATGTAGAGGGAGAGCACAAAGTTACAAGCTTTGAGAAGAGATGAGAGAATTATGCTCAAATGAGTCTAATGCCCCCCAAGTGTTGGTGGGACTTACAATTTATAGTGGCTTACTGTAATAATTGCATAGCTAGTCGAAAGGTCATAACGGAGTTGAGACCGTTTAATAGTCATAACATGTGGATATGACTTTAATAGTGATTTAATAGCTTAGAGACCTCTCCTCTCCTCAACCGGCGTGGAAGTTATGGTGCTCTCCAAAGGATGTGGGAAGGTAGACTCTCTCTGGCATAGGTGAGGCTCTCGGATGCTCCCTTACTCCAAGGTGGCAAGGAGGCTCTTGAATGACCCTTACTCCAAAGTGATAGAAGAGGCTCTTGGATGCTCCCTTACTCCAAGGTGGCGAGGAGGCTCTTGG